AATTTATCTAAAATTAGGTATTTCAAGTCTGTAGCAAAACAGCAAGTATTGCACGCAGTACTTTTACTTTTTAAGCAACTTAAGGCTACAAGGAGGCATACTATACTTGAAAAAATCGCATTGTTTTAATAATAATTTAGACCGATTTTCAAGGCTTTGAAAGCCCTTGTCCCCTTATAAGGAACAGCAAAAAATAATCGTAGTTTAAATATAGTTTTTATTTTAAAATTGTAGAAATAAAAAAAATTTACAACACATAAAAAATAACTATCAATTGAAAATTGACCAAAAAATGGAGGAACACTAATTGGCATTTCTATCCCAACTACGCACTGCAACGGCACATTATTGGCGGGGCCACGATTTTATCAGAATTTTTTTTACAATATGGTGGTCACAAGGGTTGCTTTAAGAGCGGTACACCAACCCTTCTAAAGGGGGGTAGAAGTTTAACAGCGCAGTCCACCAGAATTTAGAAAACCATAGGCGCAATCCGCTGAGATGTGACAATGAACCTTAAAAAAAAAAAAACATTATTGTAAGGTATACCGGGCAGTTAACTTGACCTAGTATATATTTCAAACATTTACCAAAGCGACTATGTGATTGTCACATAAAAAAGCACAAATTTGTATTAAAAAGTAATATTTTAACTAGAAAAAATTATTAGGATATATATTTTTCATTTGCTTGCTTGCTTACTTTTGTATGCCTGCTAAGGCAGAGGGGTACGATTGTTCCTGTTTTCCAGCGGCGCCATCTATGGTCAAGAATTCGACTTCTGCCACACCCATACGTCACACCCGTTAATAGGGTGGACCCATTTATACATCCATTCATTCATCCACATGTCGCAATTTTGACCAGAATCAGAGAACGATCTATCTCCAATTCAGTACCCCCAGAGGTATTTATTTTTTATGGGAACATGGAGGACTTTGCGATTCGACAGATTTAACGTGTATCAGTCACCATTTACTACACGGGGAGTCACCCACGGGGATTACCCACGAACTCTCGGACATGGGCTCAGCGCCCTTCCGACCAGTTTATCCCGGTCCATATTTTTCATTTGTTTAGTTGTTATTATTTACAAAGAAATTTCATTCAAATAGGGAACAGGAGTGTGGGGTTTAGGCGGAAGCTCAAGGGTGCAAGAAATAAAATTAAAATAAATATAAAAATATTAATAAAGTATGGGATGCTAGAAAAATTATTGGGTAAATTGTTAAAATTTTTCAAAATAGGGAATAATTCTCAGAAATCAAACTCGGTAGATGCAGAGCAGTGTTGAATGATTTGAGCCAAAAAAAAAATTCAAACCTATGATTAGAATGGCTATGTGAGGTGATAAAAGATCGTTTAATGCTCCGATTTTGAACATGTCTTTCAACCCCTTAAGTTGAGTCGAATTTTAATAGTTTGTCCAATATACGCAAGTGAGCTGCTGTGGCTCAGAAGAAAGAGAGTTTGCCAACGAATGAGGTGCCAGAGGTTGGAGTGCCAGCGGCAGCTGGTAGGTAAGAACTCCGCACCCGTCTCGCACCAGCCATACGGCTAACGTAAAATATCGTCAATGGTTGACATGTCATGGATCATGGTCCCCTTGCCGTCGAGATAACAGGGAGAAGTTTTCCTTTCCATGCAACGCAAATCCGGGTTAGTTCCATCAAAACGTCTAACACGAAGGCAAATTTCTCCCAATACTCGATCCAGAGTTCCCTTGTCTTCCGGATTGGGTTCAAAATTACAAGGCTACGGAGTTCAACATTAGTAATCCTGAACCCGAAAATTTGGGTCGGCTGTTCAACGACGGTCATGAAACAAAATATTATAGGGTCTTAAGGTAGGGTCTCAGTGGTGGTGCGAGAGATAAAGCTTTCGTTCTTTTAGTGAGGTGAACCGGGTTCGAATCTCAGCGATCTCGTCGATTTGACTTGGGCACCCGGCTCGCACCGACCGACCACAGTGCTGACGTAAAATATCCTCAGTGGTAGACGATTCATGGGTTAGAGTCGTCAGGCTAACTGTGGGAGGTTTTCGTGGTTTCCTTTTCCATGTAACACAAACGTGTGTTACTTCCATCAAAAGTAGTCGTAAACTCAAAATTTTGGGTCAACTGTTCAACGACGGTTATAAGGTTGGTGAAATTTAGAGATAGTATATACGGAGTAGTTTGAAACATTTAATTAAATTATAGAATCAGACTATCAGAATATTTAATTAAATATTACACTCTAATAGTTAAATATGTACTATAATATTTATAATCAACAGTTTTCAAAAGAGGAATAAAAGTTAGAAATTACGACAGTAATTTGAGTTCATTAAATATATTCAGCGTGAATGCTGATAGAATTGACATTCTTCATCAACTTGACCACTGGTCAATTGTGAAAAGTAATGGCTACTTCAAGCTCTCTAAAACCAATCAAAAAGTTCAGTGAAACCAATTAATCTTAAATACTGAAACTTAAAAAGAAGTGAATTGTATGTCTTTCATAAACCATAAAAGCAATAACTCAATCTTTTGAGTCAGTTACTAATATTTTTGGACAAGAATTATATTCCCATTTTCTTTTTTATTAACTGCATGAAATATTTTTCCATCAAGCAACGTTTTTTCCACACTATATATAAAAATAAAATCCTCTTAGCCACCACTAAAATTTTTAAGAAATAGTATAAAGGATTTTGGATATTCCCTTGCACGCAATGGTTACACATTCTTAAATTGAAAACTTTTATAAGTGCCACTTGCTCCTTTGCTAAGTCGGCATTATTTTATTTGCAGTTGTAATAAATATTCCAAACAGAAACAGTGTACTATGTCATCATCAAGCTAATAGTGATTTATTATAAATGCTTAACCAGACGACGAAATAAGTTATCTAACAATTAGATTTTTTTCTGTTCTAGCGCAATTTCCCGTTAGAGAGAATTAGAAATTATAATTCTCTGTGCAGTATTTTTTAAAAAGAATAAAAAAAATTTATATATCTATTCACCCTAAGACAGGGATGGCGAACCAATGGCACGCGACACAATATTTCGGGCTCGCCAGAGATTACACAGTTCACTATGAAGCATATTAACAATTAAATTAAACCTCATAAAGAAACAAAATCGGCAGTTATTAACAAAAAAATTAACAATTAATGCCAAAAAATAATTAATAACCATAACAAACAAGCTAACAATAAATGGCTAGTAAAAAAAAAAAATAACAGTCCTGCTTAAACTAACATCTTACAACCTAATATAAATTATTTGTCATCTTATCTACAACAACAGAAGTCACACCGATGTTGCCTTAAGTTGAACTACGCGTATAACTGAAACATTGCAAAATGTTTTTTTTTCATAGTAAATAAAGAGTTTTGAGTTGATACTTTGTATCATTATTTTCCCAAGAATCGCGAAGTCAAAATTATTTGACGGCACGTCTATGATCCCATTAAACATTTTTTTAGAAAAAATGGCACGTTTGTGCATAAAGGTTCGCCACCCCTGCCCTAAGATATTCATGGTAAACATATTTTAAAATGATTTTTCTGTTGAAGTAGCAAATATTTGCATGCAACATAATTGATTATAAGCGTTTTGATAATATTATTGATAAGCGTATTATTATCAAGCTAATATTGGCATGACATAAATTTTTATTCTGACGATGAAATAAGTTTTCTAACACTTTGATTTTTCTGTTACATTAACATTAATAACACTTCGTAATTGTCTAATACTATTCACCTGTTAATAACATTCCGTTAAAAACATTTTGTAATTTTCTAATACTATTCCCCGTTAGAGAACATTAGAAATTATAGTTCTCTTTGTTTTATTCATTAATAAGAATAAAACTATTTTTTATATATTCGCACTATGTTATAAATGGTAAACATATTACAAAATATTCTTTTTACTGAAGTAAAAAATTATGTACAAGGAAAACAATTAAAACAAAACGGTAGATTTGTTTTATACATAATACGTAGTAATGGCTTAACTAATTTTAAGTGGTCACTGATCTACCACTAATGTATCACATCGATTGATGTGATACCTTAATGTAATGCAATGTAATACATCGATGCAATACAATTCTTTAAATTTTATGTAACAAAATTTATGATAAAAACAGCATAACCGTGAAAAGTAAAGTTTAAAAATATACATATATGCAAACTTTTACTTTGTTATAAATATTATTTTTAAAAAAATTTTATTTTTACCCTAGCAGTACAGTCTAATATTATTCTGACTTGCATTACATCAGGAAAAAAAATGTAGCAAACACGAACTTATTATGAAATGCATAACATGATTGATAATAATTAGTCCCGGAACAACGGATTAAATTTGCTGCAACGAAATACATGATAACGCTAAAAGTATTGTTTAAATAATATGAAATTACAAACATTGTAATTTACATTGTATGCAAAAATTATATTTTAACTCTAGAAATAGTTTTCTTTTCAGTTAAATTTTAATCTGACTCCCAGTCTATGAGGGGGGGGGGGAATATAGCAAGCAGGAACTATTAATGGAAATACATTACTAGATTGATAAACATTACCAGTACAACGCTTTCATTTTTGTGCAATAAAACATATGATATAAACAGCAAAACCACTAGGAAAAAAATTTTTAAAATATAAAAGAAGAAATTACCTGATTAGAAATATACAAAATGTTTTTTAACTCTAGCAATAGCTTTAGACTAATAATAATTTGACCCATAATCTATCAAGGAAAAATATAGTAAGCAGGAACTATTTATGGAACATTGCTAGATTGCTAATAATTATTAACAGTTCAACGCCTTAACTTTTGTGCAACAAAACATAAGATCTAAACAGCATAACCGCTAGAAAAAAAGCTTAAAATATATAAAAGAAGAAAAATATACTGCAATAGAAATGTTATTTGAAATGTTATTACGAAGAAAAAATTAACCATAGGAATAAGTAAAGCCTGATAATATTCTGACTTACAGTGTAAGTGGAGAAAAATAGGGACTATCTTCGAATAAGTTGTGAATTATATGCTCCCCCAGAGCTGCAAGGTAAGAACTGACAGTTTGTTCTGAGAGTCTTTGGACTCTCCGTAAAGTAGGCGGAGCAAAGGGATATCAACACGTGATAGAGAAGCGCAAGATGCGCGGATCATATCTGGATGATCTAAAAGAGGATAACTTCAATTTGAGGAATGAAATAAATAAAAAGAGAAAAAGGTTCAATGATTAAATTCATCGAGATTATCTTACACCTAATTGAGATGATTTTGTATTTTTATGGAATTTTGTATAGTTTATGGAATGATATATTCTATAAACTAAGAAAAACTAACTTAAAAGATAAACATAAAAGAAAAATAAGTTATTTAAATCAGTCTAAACATGAATAAGTACGTTGCAGAATGGAATGGCAGAAAAAAAAATTGCTCATAGTTTCTAAGATAAAAATTTCAGAAATATTTATCTCGTTTCTACCATTTTCATTATGAGCATTTACGCAAATGCATTTATGTATATTTGTTTGATCTAAAATATTATGCATTCATTTAGTGTGGTTTCTTATATAACTCTTAGGTAATAAAAGAAATTATCAAATGAGTTTAAACGTAAGTGTATTATCGAAGGTTTCGTGCTCATCATTATATTTTTCAATTAATTTATATAAATAATAAATTAACTGTTCAGTGTAAATAGAAATTGGTACGATAAGGTGTTTTTAAAAATATATTTTGCAAATTATGTACTAATTGAACAATAATAATATAACTAACCTAGTTTACTGTTTATGTTTTATTTAGTTTGGCTATTGCGTGTCAAAAGTATGACTTTATATATATCTTCATTATAAGTACAAGCCGCCTTTGGTAGTCAACCGGTCTCTCCTCTTAATTTCCTTTCTGTTCCCGGCAGCCATGCGTAGAACTCACCGCTTTGTGACTCCCTGTGAAGTACATTTAAAAATATACACTATTTCGTATAGTGGAAAAACCAAAGATTACGTATTTATTGTGGAATACAAGACATTACAGACTTTAAGTTAGCCGTTTATACGGTGCTATAAACTAATTTTAATCCGAAATAAAATGGAAAAATATCATTTTTGCATTTCGGTGTCATGGGACCAAAAAACCTATCTTAACTTACCACTTTACCTTACTTAAAAAGAATAATCAGTATGTTATCAACAAAATTGTTGAATTTTAAAGAAACCGTATTTGTTTCATTATTCTCATAAGCAAGTTTTAAACTGACAAAGAGAATGAATTTTACATTATAAACTAGAATTAGCGGGTAAATATTATTAATGAAAATTCATTGTGACTTAACCGATGTTTATTCTGAATTGATTTTGGAAATAATGACTTGCAATGCAATAGTTTGTAATTGCTGAAATAATCTATTCACTTACCAACAATTATTGCATCTATTAGCTCATTACTTCATTCCATCATTTCAACGAGTTCACAATTAACTCGGTGTACTTGAAGTTAACCGAGTGTAATAGGTAGCATTTTGTCATGGGAAATCTATAATTAAAATTAAATTGCGGAAATGCTGCAGCAGGATGTACTAATATATTTAAGCCGCATTTTATTAATCATAAATTTACACTCGGTTGCTTCCGGTTTTAAGTTGAATTATTATTCTTTATTATTGTAATTAGGTTCGCAATAGTTTTGACTGGATCATCCAATATATTGTGAAATTTCGATGTTTTTAAACATCGGGAAAATGCTGCTTTAAAAAGTATTATCTCTTTATATCATTTACACACACATTAATAATAAATATTGCATACACGATAATAATTGACATTGATTAATATCGTATAGGATTATATATTTTTATTGATGTATCGATTATTATTGATAACGGTACAGCGAAAGTTCGATAATATCGTAAAAGGTGCTGAATTTCATTTGGGTAATGGAAATATCGACAAATGTAAAATAATATAAATTTGTTAAATTAGATGAATATAGTGAAATATCTACATTTAACGATATTGTTATTCTGATATCGACCAGCATAAAGTAACCAATGTTTTAACTAACGTTGGAACGCAGTGCTAACAATATGAGAAATACGCGTATTATAAATAATAAGTAATTTTAAAATATATAAAATGTTTAGAGAATAAACCTTCAGAGAAAAATATTAAACTTAAAATAATGATAAAAAATTTAAATAAAAGTTATATTTAAAATATTTTTCAAAAATTACAATTTAATCATGTATTTAAAGTGTTTATAAAATCTCTCTGTAAGTTAGAATAATAAACTGTTAGATATATTAATGGTAGTAATTTATTTAGTTAAATTTGAGAATGCTGTCATTTCTAACTTCAGGAAATTATGCAATAAATAAAATGGATTTAAATTTGATAACGCATATTTTCTAATGACAAATAATTTATCCGATGGCAAAGGATATAATAAATGTCATGTACCTAATAATTTATAAAGAAATGGAAACTTATTGGAAAATTGCTGATCGATATTTCACAAACGTAGGTAAACAATTGTATCCAATTATAGTGGTTTGCGAACTAAGCAAGAAAATTCAAGATAATGCATTTTTTAAATTACTCATTATTTTTTGGAATTCTACAGTGAATATTTAGTTATTCTTTAATTGTATTACAAAATAAAACAAATATACAAATCGTTACTATATGATACAGCAACTGGTATGAAATATAATCTGATTAAAAATATTTATTTGAAGTATGAGAGAAATGAATTTGGAAGAAAAAATATTTGTAGAAATAATGAAATATTTTTTACAATAATTCAGTTGGTTTTCTACAGAAAACATTTCAGATATAATTTGATTCGGCATGTAGCAGAGTTCCCGGATCTCTGAACAACATGGATGTGTGAATCATTTTTAATCTTCAGCTTTTACTCATCACTAATGAAAACATAACAATGTAGTTATAAAAAAACATAATACTATAATTATCAGAAAATATTAGGGGGATAGGAAAGTGATATCGTTTCGGTGCATTTCATATTTGTTATCAAGATTTTATTTTTAATCAATAATGTATTTACCCTCGTTAGAAGCAATCTTTCAATGCCGGATCGAAAATGAATCGAAATGGAACGAAAAAAAATTTAATTGGTTTTTAAGATTAGCGAATATTTAATGAGGCCGAAACGACATTGCTCTCCGATCCCCCTAATATAATTATCAGATAAAAATAACACCTACTAAGAAGGTGAATGGCGCGATATTTTTATTAATTTTATACTAATGACAGTCGCGTGTTTCATATTATCATCGCGTGTAGTAAATTATTTTATCGAGTTTTTTTTAAATAGCGGAGAATGTAATAAAATAAGAGTATTTATCTGTGAAATAAGCGATTTTATACTGCCAAACCAGCAGGCAGTTCGCAGTTTTTTTTCCAGTAAATTTAACAGTTTTCTTTAAATAAACCACTTGTATGTTTTTAAGTTATAATTAGTATTAATCCAAATGTAGTTAATATTGGTATTTGTTTGTTTTTTAAGTTATAAATTATGAGGCTATTCCTCAGTATGAAGGAAGATGTTCTCGTTTTGAAGTTAATTATAGAATTTGTTACTCAAAATAGCATTATGCAGTTTTTCTGAAATATGTGCAACTCCTTTTAAACATCACTATTGAGATATGTAGGTTCGATCATGTAACCATACTTCTGAAAACCATAATGACTCAAAACATATAATTTATTTACTAAAACTTAAGTAAAATCACAAAAATTTTAAATAGTTAAGTAAACTGAGACAGTACAGCTTTTACATAATTATGTAAGCAGATGCTTAAGTACAGTGCGCAAAAAAATGGACCACCCTGAATAACTTTTGAGTTCAAATATGCTAATAACTTAGTATAGACGATATTTTAAATTATAAATTCGGGTTCAAAAACGTACTTTCTTTGAGAAAACATACCTTTTTTTCACGGGTTCAGATTTCTGACCCCCAAAAAATATAGAATAGTCGTTATCTGGGAAATAAGGTATCAATAATTTAGTCAGGAGTGCGGTCCAAAGTTTGGGGCCCTAAATGTTAAATTTGTCTTCTATGTTTTTCGCCATATCTCGAGAACTTTTTAAGCGAATTGAAACATTTCTTCCACACAATTACACCATTTTTTTATCCAAAGATAATTCTATGCAGCAAAAAAAATTTAGCAAATATTTATTATCTTTTTTATAATTTCATTTAATAATAGCCAAAAATTTTTGAGTCGTAAGGTATTGAATTTCGTTTATCATTTTTTCGGTTATCATCATATTCGTGTTATCATTCGTTATCATTCGTTAAGGAATCTAATTTTATGTAGGAAATAAAAAATTTAAGTAAAGTCTGTTGAATTTCAAAAACACTACTTTTTTTATAGGCTTTCGTAGCTTTGCTAAAGCCTAAATATAAACTTTGTAGCGAGTATAATGTATTTGGCGTTTTTTACAACCACTTAAATGTTTTATTTCTATATTCAATATTTATGTGGAAAACCTAATTTTAAAACGAATCTGATATTCGTTTTAAAATTACTTACTTTTTAATCTGACAATTTTAAATAAACAAAATTACTGATTAGTTTTTGGAGTTAAGGACTACGAAAGGCCGAGCGAAAAGTTTCAAACTTCATTTTTACCTTACACTTAAAAATATCAATCACGCCATCGATCCCAATATCCAATGATTCCAATGTCTACACGCAAAGGAACTTAGCTCATGTTAGTTGTAACTGCATATGCAAAATAGTTAAAGTTTTATAATTTAGGTCTTTTTTACACTTGACTTAATTTTGATACTATGTTGAATTAAACTAATTACACATACATATCACGACATGAAACTTAATTAGAAAATTATGCGGAAATTATAGACGTGACATTTCAACATGATTTGACCCCTTCTCAGAATTCAAATATAATCAAGAGGCTTAAATGAAGAAAAAAAATAATATTGTTCGCTTTTCATCAAAACTGACCAAACTTTAACTCAATCGAAAACTTGCAGAATATTTTGGAGATTAGTTTAGGTAAGATGAACTGCACTGCAAATTAACTCATGAT